GTATGTATGTATGTATGTATGCGGGGCATCTGTTTAGCATGGAGATACCTACATACGTATGTATCCACTTACTTACATACATACTTTACAAACTTACACGCTTTACTTACATACTTACATGCTTTTTCATCTACATGCATACATGCATGCTGGCATACATGCACACAGACATACATGAATTTATTGGCACATGACTGCACACACACTCACGGAGGAGTTGCTCGAACGTTCCCATTACACTCATACATTTATGCATATACATACGTACATACACACATACACATGCATACAGGTGAATGCACATATATGTCTGCGCACGTTCATGGAGTTGCAGGAATGGTGCCAACACCGTCATACCTGCATCCCGATCCTGCGTTGTGGAGCGTCTTCCATCTCTTGGGAAGTTGAGGACTGCTCCGACTGCTGCCTTCCGGCTGCAGGCTGTCTGAACGTGGGAACATCACCTGTCAAGTGCCTTTCGAGCTCCTCGAACTGCTCGTGATACGACGCATTAGGGACTGGCATAGTGCCTGGAGCCCCAGCTAGACATTCGATGCCCGGCGGCCTGAATAAACCCAACCTGATTGTGATTTCATAGCTCTGGGTGAAAGATACCTGTCTGGCGTTGGTATGAGCGTCCCTTTCTGTCAATCACGGGCAGCAATGTTGCTGCATGCTAGCCATCGCTTTTTCTTATGCTGGCAATGCTGAGGGTTCTCTTTAATCCTGGGCCTGCATTAAATGATGGGGTCTGTAGGCTGTGCCTATGCTGCAGGACATTCTGCCACTTGGGAGAAAACAGTTCGTCGAGTTGATTCCCCAGCACAAACCACTCGAGTTGTTTCTGTTGAAGAATCAACTCCACGTGTTTTGTGTTTTGAGGACTGACTTCGACAGTTGTCGTACGTTGGGTTTCTGGCTGCATGTCGTCCTGTCTCAACGAATCAACTCGACGAGTTGGACGCTTATCTTGTCTGCAATGCGCGGCTTCTCGATGGCTCAAGATGCTGTTCTCGTCTGTCTTCTCTCCTGCACTTTACATTAGCACACTTCAGCTTGCGAACTCTTTTGTTTTGCGCTTTCGTCCGGGCAATATTGCCAAATGGCCCAGAAGCCCGAACGAAGATAGGAAAGTCACCTCCCGCATTACCCGAACCCACAACAGACGCGACACCTGGGATCTCTCTCTCTTGGCTTCCCGGCAAGACAAGGAACCTAAATTCATGACAATTCACCCGAAGTGCTTGAAAATTCGTGGCCTGTGCTGTTTCCCAGCCGACAGCAGTGACACGGAGGATTCTTGCCTGTGCATGTGCATCGCCGGCATATGCATGAAACAGGGCTGTACTGCTTCGGTAAAGGTTGATCTTGAGGTGTCTTGGATAAGATATAGCTGCTTGGCATGCCGAAACAAGGTCAATTCGGCTCTAGAATCACTCTGGCAAACTGTGCAATCAGCCGACATGGAACCTGCGTATCTCAGCTGCAAGAGAACCTGCTAAAACAACTCAAAGGTACCCTGGACAGAGCCCACTAAGTAGACCGTGATGCATTTTGGCCTGAACTGTTTGGGATGCAGGCTTCGCTTTCCGGCTTCGGACACCGGAGGCGCTGGGGACCGTAGGCTCCGACGGTCCAACTTCCACAGTGCTGACCCGTACGATGCAGTCCGGTTCACGGACGTACAGTCTCCGGGCTTTGGCTTCGCTTCCTCTTTGAACAACCGCCACAAAGCAAATAAGTAAACCTACACTGACCTGGGTGCGATGATAGATATACTACGAAGCCTCAGGAATTTCAGGAACTCGGGTCAGTGCCCCAAAGCTGCAATAAAATGTTGCTTGGTGGTGCCCAGTGGCGCAGCGAATGGGACGGAAATGACCTGTGGAGAGCAGGATAGGACGGATAGGAAGATTGAGTCCTGAAGATCAGTGAATCAGCGAGTCCTCTGCCACAAGGATTTCGGGCAGAAGGCTTGCTGGTGCCGATTCGGCACTGTCTGAGTGCAAATTCCCAGCAGTCCCGCCATGCAGAAACCCCTTCCTTCTCACAAACAGAAGTTTCTAACAACCTCCGCTCCAACTTACTGTGCTGAGCCCTAAGATGCAACTATGAGCACTCTGAATCAAACTCAGGAGCCTCGCAGCCGCGAGATGCCCTAGAGTCTAAACCCCAGACAAATTCGATGACCGCAGAGACCCACTGCTAGGCGTCTGCATTCTGCAGTGATCCTGAAGCTTGTTCGCAGCCAATGCGTGTAGACACAGTGGACTTTGCAGACGTGTATCAACACTTTGACTGGCAATGTGCCAAGCTGAGAAGTAAGCTGTGCTAAGCCGGTTACACATGTTGGTTGGGCAGGTTTTGGGAAGTGTAGATGCTACGCTGATGCCGCCCGATTGGCTTCTTTATTAATTCTAGTTCGCAGATGGGCGGGGTGGGGAGGTGACGTGCTGGGTGCTCTTGCCAAGTGAAACCCAGCTGCCGGAGGCATACATGGGAAGACACTAAGTATGTAGGCCCAACCAATATTTGCGAACAATCGAAGTTGCTGCTGTCGCCTGGGTTCGGTCTATAGAAGGTTCTGAGTCCTGGCGAAAATGAAGTTTGCTTCCTGGTTTACTGGTGAGCATTCAGGCGAGCAAGGCCTCAAAGCCTCAAAGGTCTGCAACTAGCGATGGCTTAGCCATTTACGCTGTCTCTGTCAGTTCGTCTCTGTCCCTCTCTATAACGATCGGCCTCCCTGAGGGTGCATGGCGAAGCTAGTTCCGGCAACCTAGATTCCCTTCTGTCCCCAACCGTGAATAACGATTCTGAAGCCCGGCTTGCAAAAACCTATTGTCCTGTTGCAGCTTAACGGGCCAAAAACTGCCGAACCTGGAATCTGAGCTCTCTTTGTGCTGGCTGAATCCTTCCGTGTTGCCGTGATGTCTGGCGCGAAGCTGACGTTCTCCTCCAGTCGACTCATCATCGGGCTGCCTCGACTGTGCCAAACAGATGAACCGAATGAACCTCAAACCCGAACAGGACCTTCGAGGGGTTTTTCATGGTGCCACACTAACAAGCGTTCAAGGCCTCAGTGGCTGTCCTGTGACGTTACCATCGTCTTGTTTCACGTGGAAGGCGGGCAAAGCTCAGATTTTGGAAAGTTCAGATGAGGGCTGGTGCAGAAACTAAGAGCCGCGGTCAGCGCGAAGCATTTTGCTGACTTCTCCGTACGCGCGGCGTCGTTCTGAATGCGGTGATGCGTAGAAATAGGAAGATATAGTAGGTTCCTGCTGTTCGTTGTAGCTGCGGCAGTCTGGATCCACGGAGGGGCAAACTCTGCACAATCAAAACGTATCGTCATATTTGGCAGGTATACAGCCGCGCAGACTGTGGTATGGCTGCAAGCTGTTCACAGCACCAACTGACGACTCAAACCAGCAAGCTTCCATTTCCAACACCGGATTATGCACTTTCCTCCCGAACTCTGAGCCAAAACCTACGACAAGGCTATGGCGATGGTACCATTACTCATTCAACCTGATACCAGTCTGGCCTCTACCACCTTGCGAATGATCCGAAAATCTGTGCTCGACGGGCGACCGCGCCTCCATGGCTTGGGGAGAGGTTTGCTGGGGACTAACGGGGCTGGGAATCTCAAGTGCGGCTCTTCGCTTTGGCCACATGTTGCGATTCGAACTACTGCCACCCTATTCTCGAACAGTCGGTCATCAGCACCCAGAATCGAACATGATTTTTCGACAGTTGTTATGTCTCGCCATGGTCGACGAGCATCTGGACAATTCCGAACTGCTTCTACATGGCTGCTGCTCGGCGCTCTGCCATCTCTGCCAAGGGATCGCCGCAGCTCTGGGCTGGAGACTTAAGACCAAGGATTCTTGCGAGGACCGGTTATTGATCCAATTGTGTTTCAATTTCAATGCGTATTCAGCGAGTTGCTCCTGCTGCCACTTGTTTCTCCGATACCCGGGAAGCGATACTTCTGGTCCGTGTACGAAGAATCAACATCGAACAAGCCCTGCAAGGATGCTCAGCGCCAGCATAAAACCTACAGGTCACATGATGTAATTCATGAGAGGCTAGAAAGGGGCTGCCTCGTCGTGCCAGGCATCAAGCCTGCAGGAGAAGAACGTCAGTGCGAGCTGATCTCATTGGGTGTAAATATCTTCACAAACTCTCCGGAGTCAGACTGAGTGGACATGAACACCAGAACCGACCACCCGCCGGATTCCACAAGCAAACCTAAACATTGTGCCCCAAGGCGAACCACTCAGAATAACAAACTGATGATGGCAGCGCCATACCAGCAGTTCCGCACCACCGCCGCCACCGCCACTGCCACCACCACCGCCACCCCCACCACCACCCCCACCACCACCACCACCACCCCCACCACCACCACCACCACCACCACCATCACCGCCACATACCGCCACCACTGCCACCAACAAGAGGAGGGGCGAGAGCGAAAGCAACAGCAAGAGCAACGGCAGGAGCAACATCAACATTGGCGACATCAGCAAAAACAACCGCCACGACCACTTCGACGACTTCGACGACGACGGCTACCACTACGCTACTACCCCTACTGCTTCTGCTGCTGCTACCGCTGCTGCTGCTACTACTAGTACTACTACCACTACCACTACCACTACCACTACCACTACCACTACCACTACTACTACTACTACTACTACTAATAATAATAATAATAACAATAATAATAATTCATCGTTTACATCTGCTTCTGC